CCACCTACCCTTTCTCCCTTGGTCTTTGGGGAGACCAAAGGGAAATTTTTTAATCCATGGTTATTACGGTATTCGTGAGATCTTGAAAAGGCATCATCGTAGTTACTTTGACACTTAAGTGGAGCCAAACTTTATAGCTCCAATTTATAATTTGAAATATAGCTCAATATTATCAATTTCTTGCTTTGTTTTTTGCGCGTAATTACTTGAACGCGCCTTTTTGTTTAAAATTTAAAACTAACGGTTTCCGTTCATTACTGAGCGGTGTTGCTAGATAATATTCTTTTTATTTTTCTCTCTCATATTAACTTTTACACACATACTTGTCATAGGTTTAGAGTATATATCCTTGTGTAATTAAACAATAAGGTAATGGAAACTACCTTTTTCAAAGTTGTTCAAATGTTATGGTGAAGTATGTATAGGTTCAAGATTATACATATACATACAACTGTACCGTAAATGAATAATCTCGAATTTAATTGTATACTGAAATTGGACAGTATACTCTGGTAACTTTCGCTATTTTAGTACAAAATACAAAGATACGTTTCTGCCCGAAACGCTTTGCGTAATAGTGGCTTTAGGCATTGTATGTACTAGCTCTATCTATAAAGCCAACAAACTTTGTAAAATCTCTTTATGTATGTACCTTACCTAAATAAAAATTATTATTATTATTATTATTAGACAGAGGTATTTAGAGAACAGTTAGTGTATCATGAAATTACAAACGTGCAGGAATTGATGGTCGAGTGCCTTCATGAAGCGTTACGAGGGTTAATGGCTTTACAAGAGTGTAAAATACACTAATATTATGTACGCTCATAACCCAGTGTATCTTGTTGTATATAAATTGTGCGGTTTTGATATCTTTCATTTTTAAAATTATTGCGGAAGAGTTCACAAGTTTATTTCAACGTGGATCAGTACAAGTTCAAGGTCCAGTCCGTTCTTCATAAATTTTGCCAACGTTAAGAAAATGGTCAATGTAAAGTGCCCTAATCCTAACCTGTCAAAGGACCTAAAACAGAAAACGGGGACAGTAAGTCACTTGCCAGCCGCTTCCGTTTTCTAGTAGGACAATATTTGACCTTAATTAACGCATACGGGCGAAAAGCGACGTTCTTTGTAGGAGGACAAGGTTGGAGGGGGGGGGGCAGGTTGGAGGGGGGGGGCAGGTTGGAGGAGGGGCAGGTTGGAGGGGGGGGCAGGTTGGAGGGGGGGGGCAGGTTGGAGGGGGGGGCAGGTTGGAGGGGGGGGAGGTTGGAGGAGGGGCAGGTTGGAGGGGGGGGGCAGGTTGGAGGGGGGGGGGGCAGGTTGGAGGGGGGGGGGCAGGTTGGAGGGGGGGGGCAGGTTGGAGGGGGGGCAGGTTGGAAGAGGGGGGGCAGGTTGGAAGAGGGGGGGCAGGTTGGAAGAGGGGGGGGCAGGTTGGAAGAGGGGGGGGCAGGTTGGAAGAGGGGGGGGGCAGGTTGGAAGAGCGGGGGCAGGTTGGAAGAGGGGGGGGCAGGTTGGAAGAGGGGGGGGCAGGTTGGAAGAGGGGGGGGGCAGGTTGGAAGAGGGGGGGGGCAGGTTGGAAGAGGGGGGGGGCAGGTTGGAAGAGGGGGGGGCAGGTTGGAAGAGGGGGGGCAGGTTGGAAGAGGGGGGGCAGGTTGGAAGAGGGGGGGCAGGTTGGAAGAGGGGGGGCAGGTTGGAAGAGGGGGGGGCAGGTTGGAAGAGGGGGGACAGGTTGGAAGAGGGGGGGCAGGTTGGAGGAGGGGCAGGTTGGAGGGGGGGCAGGTTGGAGGGGGGGGGCAGGTTGGAGGGGGGGCAGGTTGGAGGGGGGGGGCAGGTTGGAGGGGGGGGGGCAGGTTGGAGGGGGGGGGCAGGTTGGAGGAGGGGCAGGTTGGAGGGGGGGGGCAGGTTGGAGGAGGGGCAGGTTGGAGGAGGGGCAGGTTGGAGGAGGGGCAGGTTGGAGGACAGGTTGTGCACTAAGAGAATTAGCTTCACCACATCTAGTTTCCTGTGCGCTTAGACACACACCGGAGTATTAATTTCCCTTGCATCAGTGTGCTCCTCAAGCACTTGGATCTTCTCCTGCGAGTTAGAGAGCCTGAACCTCGTAATAGCAATTATAAACAATCTGCTCACTGCACAGAATACAGAGTTTCGAACACCTTTTGTGCGTATTCCAAATATATTATGACACCGACGTAGTAGTTCAATTAGTATGCAACAAGGATGTGTTGAATGGTTACCCACATCTCTGTTAAGACAATGTTGCCCCAGACATGCAGGTTTTGATAGAGAAAGACAAAGATTCAGCCCGCTATCAGACACCAACTTTCACATGCCTGTACGCCCAGTGTGACACGTTATCAGTTGTTTAGGGCTGAGACCTGTGTGTACGGCCAGCACAAACCGTCCGCCAGCCTGCGACGCAGTCGTTGCTAGGATTAGGCTACAGGTTGAATTGAAATTGAAGTAAGTTTATTGAGGTAAAATACACACCAAGGGATGAGGTAGCTCAAGCTATTCTCACCCTGTTCAGTACATCGCGTTAATACATACATTGATACACATCACAAGCAATAAACGTATTACCGATCATTCTGAGAGTTAAACATATACTTTTCCTTAGGCTACAGGTGAGCTGGAATTAGGGCATGATCTTAAGTGAACAGGGGCATCAGTATGAAAAAAACTGTGCCCATTTGTTTCCGCCGCGGATCAAACCCGTAACCCTTAGGACTAGGAACGCCGAGCGCTGTCCACTCAGCCGTCATGCCCTCACGCTGGGTAGTGGAGGCAAGTGAAGGCATATATGGCCTTGCATGACTAACCATGCTGTGATCTGGGGGACTATGGCATCACGTAGACGCACTTTGTAACCCTTCATGTAGTCTAGGGCGGCCGCATGAATACTGATGCCTCTAGGTTAAAATAATAAGTTTAATTGTAATGCAGTTTCATAATATTACTCAAACCACATTCCTGACTCATAGCGTCATCCTCCTGCAGTACCTGCAGTTGACCACACACGCACAGGGGCCGGTGGCTGAGCGGACAGCACGCTGGACGCGTGAGCCTGTCGCGTCGGGTTGGATTCCGGGCGCCGGCGAGAAACAATGGGCAGAGTTTTTCACCCTTATGCCCCTGTTACCTAGCAGTAAATAGGTACCTGGGAGTTAGTCAACTGTCACGGGCTGCTTCCTGGGGTGTGTGGTGTGGGAAAAAAATTTAGTAACAGTTGATTGATAGTTGAGAGGCGGGCCGAAAGAGCAGAGCTCGACCCCCACAAGCACAACTAAGTGAACACAACTAGGTGAACACACACCTAGTTGTCATATAAGCGTTATATGACACAGAGTGCTGGGAAGACGGGACACCACAAGCGTAGCTCTCATCCTGTAACTACACTTAGATAATTACACCCCCCCCCATGCACTCGCTCAGACCCCCCCCCCCCCGTACACCCGTGACGCCGCCAGAGGTTCCAATAATTGTCTCAGGAAAGCGGTGTGACTGAAACCTTAATTAACTAAATTTTTATACATTTTTAAAAATTGTAGAATTTTTCTATTTTTAACTATGACCTTGTGGAGGGGTCCCCCACGTGTAGCGCTGCCTGCTGAGGTTGTTGATAGTGGTTTCCGTTCTTGTGGCTCTGTGTTCTCTACCCCTGTGTTCTGTGGTGGTGTTCTGGGGGAGCTGGTGTCCCCCCGTGTTCTGTGGTGGTGTTCTGGGGGAGCTGGTGTCCCCCCGTGTTCTGTGGTGGTGTTCTGGGGGAGCTGGTGTCCCCCCGTGTTCTGTGGTGGTGTTCTGGGGGAGCTGGTGTCCCCCCGTGTTCTGTGGTGGTGTTCTGGGGGAGCTGGTGTCCCCCCGTGTTCTGTGGTGGTGTTCTGGGGGAGCTGGTGTCCCCCCGTACTCTGTGGCGGTGTTCACGAGCGTATCTTGTGCTTGGCAAGGTACGGGCTCCATGCTGGGGCCGCATACTCCAGGATTGGTCTTACATATGTGGTATACAAGGTTCTGAATGATTCTGATTCCTTACACAGGTTCCTGAAGGCGATCCTGATGTTAGCCAGCCTCGCATACGCCGCTGATATTCTCTTGATGTGTGTGGTGTGTGTACACGTACGTACATATATTGTGTGAGGAGAATATGTTGCGCTTACCAACTTCAGAATCCCTTTTAATTATATGGTTGATGAAACACTATAGAAACTGTTCTTTAGTATTTGAGCATCTTCCAGTTGAAAGATGCAAAGATGTCTTTGCACTCAAGAATAAGGATACACATTCAAGCTAAGGAAACAAAGGTGCCGAAAAAGTATTTTTTTTTGTTTGTAAATAGAATGGTAGACGGTTGGAACAAGTGACAGTATTGGAGGCCAAAACCGTCAGTAGCTTCAAGCGTCATACGACAAAGAGTACTGGGAAGACAGGACACCACGAGCTTCTCTAGTTCCTGTAACTACACTTACCTAATTATACTTTAGGTTTGTACAGAGGTAATCAATCGTACATTGCGCCTAAGATTGCTTGTAATAAGCCTAGGTGAGGACAGGTAGTTACTGGTTTGGTTATTGCAGTTTTATTAATGTTCTTTATAATAGTACAAACTAGGCGTTTTAACATTACAGCATTTTTGTATTACCCATTTTAGTGTATGTATTGGATACTATCAATTATATGCAGGCGATGAGTCACAATACCGTGGCTGAAGTATGTTGACCAGACCACACATTATAGAAGGTGAAGGGACGACGACGTTTCGGTCCGTCCTGGACCATTGTCAAGTAGATTGTGAGAATGGACTTGAGAATGGTCCAGGACGGACCGAAACGTCGTCGTCCCTTCACCTTTTAGTGTGTGGTCTGGTCAATATCAATTATAGTAACATGATTCGTCCACATCAGCTCTGGCCCTCACATACGTGTGATGATTGGTAAATTGAAGCAGGTGAGATCACTAATCAATTACCTGTGAGAGATAATTAATTGTCGCACGTGTTGCAGGTGACGTGAAGGTAAGCACCACGGTGGAGACCTCGCTGACGCCCAGCGTGGGAGTGCCAGGGACCTCCGATGCCTGGGGCACCGCCACCAGCAACAGCGTGTGCGTCAGTGGAGGCCCGAGCTCCTCCAGCGGCGACATGAGTGTGGGAGAGGCCGAGGAGCGCCTCTTGAGGAGTGTAGTGAGGGGCTCCTCCTCCTACAGCAGGTTCATGACGCTCCACAGACGTCGGCGACGCAAGCCCCCCACGCGACTCCTGGAGCAGCCTCATCGGGCCCTTCTGGACGACCTCTATCACGGACCCACTCAAGTGAGTATAACTTGTTTTATTCTTATTACCGTTGAAAAACAAATATATAAGTGTTGCATGTGTTAAAGTGGTCCATCCACTAGCACTGGTTGGTACAGCGACAGCCTCGCTTCTTGCAAGCCAGCGTTCGATCACATAGTCCAATTGGTTGGGCATAGCCTGGCCTCAGGCCGGGCTCGGAGTAGAAGAACTCCTAGAACCATCTCCAGGTATGTTCCAGGATTCAGAGACGACATAACAGGCACCATAACTAAAATATTGGGATCGTCTCAAAGCTCTCTAAATGTACTCACTAGAAAGGAGACAGGAGATATCAAATATACAGGTGGAGAATACTAGAGGGCCATGACCCAAATCTACACAGTAAAATAACAACATACTGGAGTGAATGATATGGAAGAAAATACATATATAAAACAAGTGAAGAGCAGGGGTGCCATAAGCACAATCGGACAACACTGTATAAACATCAGAGGTTCAAGGTTGTTCAACATCCTCCCAGCGAGTATAAGAAATATTGCCATAACTGGGCACCTTCTTGAAGAAAACTATCTAGTTTTCTCTTGAAGTGCTGGACCAACCGTGCTGTGGTTGATATGTGGGCCTGCAGGTTGCTCCAAGCAACAGCTGTTGGACTACGCTCTCACAAGTAGAGCCTGGCCAAGGGCTGGGCTTGGAGAACAACAACTCGCCTTCTCAAGACAATGGTCCAGGACGGACCGAAACGTCGTCGTCCCTTCACGTTCTAGTGTGTGATCTGGTCAACATTCTTCAGCCATGTTATTGTGACTCATCGCCTGCAACTCGCAGAACACCATCAAGCAGGTATAACATGGGAGGACCAAGAATAGTAGTAGTGGTGATGTATAACCCTTCACTAAATGACAGTAAACCCAGGGATGAAAGAACCAACATAGCAGTTACTACTATAATTGAAAGGGCAGCCTCTGTTGCCTGTAGAAATAGATCTTGTCTGCTTATCATGGGAAACTTCAACCCTGGAAAGATAGACTGGGAGAACAAATGACCACTGCTGATGCAGAAACACAAGTTAAACTATTGAACGTGGCAACAAGAAACGTTTTAGGACAGGGGACCCGCAAGGATGAACCAGCAAGACTTGACTTGGCATTCACTTTAAATGATTCAGACAAAGAAACCTTCGAAGCCCCCATGGGAATGTGTGATAACAGTATATTGATGTTAGTGTATCTGGTAGAAGTAGGGATTGCTTACTCAAGGAAAGGACCAGAATACAAAAGGCTGTCATACCGAAAGGGAAACTAGGAGGAAATGTGAAAATTCCTAATGAAAATACCATCGGTAACAGAGCTCTGAGAAAAGGGTGCATAGACATGATTGCTGGAACAATCGTGGACATCTTCAAGAGGAACCTAGACGTTTTTGGATTGCCAGAAATCCTTTGACACAGTACCCCATAAGTCACAAATGCATAAGTTGGAGATGCAGGCAGGAGTAATAGGGAAGGTACTCCAGTGGGTAAGGGAGTACCCAAGCAGCAGAAGATAGGGAGTCTCATTGAGGGGGTGAGGTCTCCAAGTGGAGTCCCATAGGGGTCAGTCCTTGGAGCTATCCTATTTCTGATATATGTAAACGATCTTCCAGAACAGAATAACTCATTCCTTTTAATGTTTGCTGATGATGCAAAAATCATCAGGAGGATTTGATGATGTAAAAATTATGAGGAGGATTAAGACAGAGGAAGATAGCAAGAGGCTACAAGATGACATGGACAAACTGAAGGAATGATCTAACAAATGGCTTCCACAGTTTAACTCCAGGAATGTAAAGTAATGAAGCTAGGTGGAGGGAGCAGGATGCCAGACACTAGGTACCCAATAGACAAAGTCCTTCATAAACAGACAAGGATCTAGTTAATATCACACTGAACCTGTCTCCTGAAGCCCACCTAAAAAGCATATTGGTGGCGTATAGGAATCTGGCTAACATCTGAACTGCTTTCAGAAATTTGTGTAAATAATCATTTGGAACCTTGTATGCCACATATGTCAGACTGATCTTAGAATATGTGGCTCCAGCATGATCCATATCTTGTCAAGGGTGAAACAAAGGTGGTGGTTCAAAGGTATGCCACTAGACTAGTCCTAGAACAAAGAGGTAAGAGTTAAAAGGAAAGGCTTACGTGAATTGTACCTCGTGTCACTGGAAGACTGAAGAGTTTGGGGAGACGTGATAACTGCATACAAAATTCCCAGGGGAATAGACAGTAGATGCACATTGTTTAACACAGGTGGCACTTGCACAAGGGGACACAGGTGGAAACTGAGTACCCAAATGAGCCACAGGGACGTTAGAAAGAACATTTTCACTGTCATAGTAGTTAAAAGATGGAATGCATTAGGCAATGATGTGGTGGAGGCTGACTCCATACACAGTTTTAAATGTAGATATGATAGAGCCCAATAGTCTTAGGAACCTGTACACCAATTGATTGATGGTTGTACCTGTACACCAGTTGATTGCATTACACTAGTATGCTTATCTCTTTTTGCAAATGTTTATATACTGTAATATGATTTTTTAATTACTTTGTGCAATTACAAATAATTTTGGATACAATGAAATCACAAGAATGTAATGTGTGTGTATATTTATGTATGTATGTAAGTAATTCTGGTTAAGATACTTTTAGCCGATCATGGTCCAATCAGTAGTGAATGTGCCTGAAGAGTTTTAAGAATACCATTATATTGTTTTTCCCTGTATTTGTTATTCTAGGCTTCATATTGAAGCTTTATGGTTTTCAGTGTGTGCTGTCACAAGTTGGCGTGTGGGGCTTCAATGCCTTTGCCCTGGACAGTGTGTGTGGCGGGCGCCCTGTATCAGTGCTGTGCGTCTACCTTCTACACAAATATGGTCTTATACAGCATTTTAATTTTGACACAGTCACAGTCTGGAAATGCTTTAGTAAGTATTTAAACTTTCATGTACCTGTGTCCTGTATTCATATTTATTTTTTATTTTTACTGTTGTACATATATTAATGCAGAGACTTTAATAATAGAGGTCACACTGCTTTAGTATACACCTGCCGAACACACAACAAAACTACGACATTTCTGCAACGTTTGAACAAGTTGTAAGAAATTTCTGACACGTAAAAACTTTATAACAAGATGTAACAACTTTGTTACGAGTTGTAATAAGGTAACAATAGGGACCATTATGTTGGTCTGTACACATCCCGGTAGGACGTTGCTTTGTGAAAGGTAGTGACATGCACCGAAGAGAAATTACCTGTATTAACTGTTTTAAAATTTATTACAAGAGGACAAATACAGGAAACGTTTAAATTTGTGCCGATATATACTACTAAAAGCATTGTAATAAATAAATTAAAAAAATACATAAATGAAATATGGATATACCTATGCCGAGTTGGCTAATTAAACTGTCTTAAATTAAGGCAAGCTTTAATTAAAGACATGAAATCTAGGTTTGTTAGTAAATAATTTCTGCTAAATTAAAAGTTTTGCTAAATTGTGATACATCACGGTAAATTGTGGCTCCACTACATTAAAATATAATATCTGCCAAAACAATGAATGAAATTAATCTTAAAAATGTTTATAACAGGAACAACAATGCAAAAATTATATTGAATTGTTGAACATTCAGAAGTTAAATTTCCTTTTAATTTAAATACTGTATCCAAATTAACATGAGATAACTGATACAATGTTTTTATTTCAGGTTTAATAGAAGATGGATATCATGCCTCCAATCCTTACCACAATGCTATCCATGCGGCGGATGTGACCCAGGCCATGCATTGCTATCTTCAGGAGAAAGTGGTACGCATTCTGACCTTACACTCTCCATTCCATATTTCCTTAAAGAATAAAAAGAGGAAATTACACAAGGCCTATTGGCCCATAGAAGGCCATTCCAGTTATAAATAATAAATAAATAAATAAATAAATGTTTATTTAGGTAAGGTACATACATACAAGAAATTTTTACAAAGATTGGTTGACTTATAGGTAGAGCTAGTACATACAATGCCTAAAGCCACTATTACGCAAAGCGTTTCGGGCATGAAAAACTTAAATGACAAGCTTAATACTAATTGAGCATAAAGAATAGAATGAAAACAAGAAATGAAAACATAGCTGAAAAAGCAGCACAAATACAATTATGTCGACAAACAGCGCTCTTTAAAAAAAAACAGACATTGGTTGACAATAGAAGGGTAAGGTAGGTTACAGGGAATTTATTAGGTATAGCTTCGTTTTTATCTTAAACTGGTTGAGAGAGGTACAGTCTTTAACATGGTTGGGAAGGTCATTCCACATTCTGGGCCCCTTGATTTGTAGAGCATTTCTAGTTTAAGTCGTACTCTAGGAATATCAAAACTGTATTTATTTCTGGTGTAGTGCTCATGGGTTCTGTTACAACCTTCTATGAAGCTTTTGAGGTCAGGATTGGCATTATAGTTTAGCGTTTTATATATGTATAATACACATGAGAGAATGTGCAGTGACTTAATGTCTAACATATTCAGGGATTTGAGTAGGGGTACCGAGTGATGTCTGGGGCCAGAGTTGGATATTGTCCTAATAGCAGCTTTGTGTTGAGTAATTAGAGGACGTAAGTGATTTTGGGTAGTAGAGCCCCAAGCACAAATACCATAGTTGAGATATGGATAGATAAGGGAGTAATAGAGAGTCACCAGGGCAGGGCGTGGTACATAATATCTGATCTTAGAAAGAATGCCCACAGTTTTTGAAACTTTTTTTGATATATTAAGAATGTGTCCCTGGAAATTCAGCTTGTGGTCAATGAGAATGCCAAGGAATTTGCCATCTAATTTGTTACAAATTTGGGTATTGTTTATTTTGAGATTTATTTGATTAGAGGATTTATTGCCAAACAGAATATAGAAAGTTTTGTCAATGTTAAGGGCGAGTTTGTTGGCAGTTAGCCAAAGATGGACTTTATTTAGCTCAGTATTTACTGTGGCATTTAGAGCAAGGGGGTCAGGACTGGAGTAAATGAAGGTTGTGTCGTCAGCAAATAGAATTGGTTTGAGGTGTTGGGAGGCATTTTATAGTTATAGTTAGTTTATAGTTTTACAGTTATATCCACTGAATATTATTTTATATTTGATATCCCTTTAACGAGTTGAGGATGGAATGTCTTATGTTGAATTTTGCCTCTTAAATGTTATGCTTAGATTTTTGTAAGGATATACCCGGTATTTCGAGGACTCCAGTGGAGGTTTCAAAAAAGGATTTGGCAGAAGTATTGTAATTATATTCATTAATGAGTATTTACATTATTGCAAGTTGTGCATGATTAATGTGTTTAACGCACTACCTAAGTGTATGTTTAACATATTAAACATACTTTTAGGTATTTTTAGGTAAACATTAGGTACATTTAGGTAAACATTAAAATGTGTGTTTGACACATTCCTAAAAATCATCTCTAATGCATTGTGTGCTTTTCTCTGAGACTATGGGTCCCCTTCTTCCAGTCAGTGGGTGGTACTTCCTTTAACACACTGGTATAATATTTCAAAATACTGTATCAATGTCTTTTGTAAGGAATTAAGATGATATTGTTTTAAGACGGATGGTTATATTAGACTAGTTATTGTTTCAACCTTGCCCCTGTGTTTTTATGCAGTAAGAGTTCTGCTTCTTAGCAGGACTTTTAAACTATTAAAATTAAAAAAAATATTATTATTAAAGTGCACACAATATCATTATAGTGATTAATTAGTAGATCCAGTACAGAAAATGTATATGGAATAAGGACAACTAATATGCAAAGCATATTGGGCACAACTGGAGAACTGTATTCTCTTATTTTACATTTTTTTATTGTTAAAAAAAAAATAAAGGAATATAGCTTTAGGAATTGTCAAGTATTTTATTTGACAGATTCATGAGCATATGACACCCCTAGAGATGCTCGCAGCTCTGGTCGCTGCGGTGTGTCACGACCTTGACCATCCGGGAGTCAATCAACCATTTCTTATAAAAACCGACAACCATTTGGCTGCACTCTACAAGGTATTGTTTGATATTAAACCACACAAATAAGATTTTTGTATTAAAATTTTAAACGTTTAAATAATGCAAAAGTCGGAATTCTATATCGTGCATTTCTATACAGTAGTACAGTAGATTTATTGGGACTGGAGCAGAGTTGATAAATATTAAAGTAGATTGATTTATGAGCAATATTTAATTTAATGTAAAACAGCCCATGCTATTTATAATTATATAATAAATTGATTAGTAACATTCTTTTATCTAGAACCTAAGTGTGCTTGAAAATCATCATTGGAGGTGTGCAATGGGCTGCTTGTGGGAATCTGGACTACTAGATTCTTGGGCAGCCGAAGATGTGACGGCTCTTCAGGATATGATAAGATCTCTCATATTGGCTACAGATATCACCCGCCAGCAAGAGTTTCTCACAAGATTTCGGGTATGTTTCGCCTTGGTTTTGAATTATTGTATTTTATTACAGTGAGAGCTCCCACAATTAACTACTATTAAATTACCCTTAAATTATTACAATTAAGAATCAACACGACTACTGTCGTTACTATGATTGTATTGTACCTTGATTGGTGGCGCTGCTTTGCTCGGTGTCTGATCCTGAGGGTCTTCCCTCGGGTCTTTTTGCGGATCGGTCCAACCCAGTGTATTTACATTATAAATACACTAATTAATTAGGCATAATATGATGACCCCCCCTCACCTTCCACCAGTATGTGGCATAGATACATAGCTTTACACTCTTCATAATAAAGGGGTGAAAACAAATTAGTCTGGGAACCCAAATTTCCGTATTTCCTCTCTACAAAGGGCAGATTCGTTCTCCGATGTCAAGTCTTTACTTCTCTGAGTCACAGAAAACAAAGACAGGAGCAAGTGAAGAACAAAAGAAACTAAAAGATGCGAGTAATTAATAAAAGTGAGTCTGGTGTGTTAAGTTAATGTGAACGTAGACAGTACATTATAGTGAATGAAAAGTAAACCTTTGCTATTTCACATAATTATTGAGAGGGAAAAGTTAGAATTTTTTAGGTAAAGTAATTTGAAGTAAAAGTTGGTAACATGCCAAGATTTTACCAATTAATCATCAAGTTTATCAAAGAACAAGTTGAGAGTGTGGGGTTGCTGTCATGTTCATGTATTCTACAACTGGACAGTATTGAAATGTATCCTGAACTTCTTGTAACACTTCCACAGTGGGGGTAATTTAATTTAAATTTGGTTAGATTAAGATTATGTAGTGTTAATTTTAATTACCGTTAAAGTTTGTTGCTTCAATCAGAACTAGCAACTGTAGTTTATTATAATTGAGTACTGTACTTAGATTTAATGATTTAAATTAATTATTTATTTACTAAAACACTAAATTATCTTGATTGTGAGTTAATAAATTTGAAACAGCTTAGCTGTCTTAAAGATCCGTAGCGCAGAGGATGTGAGAATCACACACAAAGCTCGGGGCCAACCTCGTGGATAATGGCGGCCTCCAGGGCACTCGTCAGGGTGATGACTCCTCTCCTGTAGACAAATTCTTTATTAAATTTTGAAATCACACCTTGGTTATATAATGAACAATCCCAGAATTTGTCAGTGTTTGACTTTAATATACAGTTTAGAGATTCCAGAGAAATTACACTGATATATTCAATGAGAAAATAATCTAGAGCTTTTAGGTGACTAGAACCTGCGACAAAAGGCACTGCCAGCCACAAACTCTACCACTGTTTGTGGTAGAGTTTGTGGTAGCTACATTATATGTACACAGACACTAGTAGTTTGTTGGCTGGCTTTGATTATGGTTTAACCCTGAAGCCTAACCACCTCACTTTCAATATTCCATATACTGTACTCCAAAAATGATAAAATTTTAGGTACTGGGGAATGAATACTTAAGTCATGAGACAGAAATGTCACGGATGCTCGGAACGAGGTTATTCAGCCGTTGTGCAACTATTGCAGTAGTCATTGCTTTCTTTACGTGGCTTGACACCGATGTATTGGGTAGCTATCCCTACTCCATATCTATAACACCCAACCCTCCTCCCTCCTGCCCTCTCGACTGTCAGTCACTGCGAAGGTTAATAGTGATTTAGGAGTGGTCTCTAATTCTTGTGAACTGAAATGTTGCATAAGTAATATTAAATTGACATACTTATTAAGTGCAAAGTCCACACCCCTCTTTATTACAGAGACTTAATAGAACTACCACAGTTCTTCTTTTGTCTCGCGACAGGATGGGTTGATGCTCTTAAGTGGGAGAATATTTCCCACAGAAAGTAAGATTAAACAGTGGCATAAAGTAAATACTGTAGTATACAAGTAAGAGTGACAGTGGATGATGAAAAGGTAATAAATGTGCATAACTGACCATGGGTTCCTGGAAAAGTACAGTAATTAAGTGTAGTTACAGGATGAGAGCTATGCTCGTGATGTCCCGTCTTCCCTGCACTGTCATGTAACGCTTTGAAACTACTGACAATTTTTGGCCTCCATTTGGTATGTGTGTGTGATGTAAAAGCATTAAGAGGAATATCTGAACATTATGATAGGGAACACAGATATGCTAGGCTACATTATAGGTACACAGACAAAATGATAGGTTATTTTATTGGTTATGCAGATGTGATAGGCGGCATTAAAAACTAAGCAGATAACATATGCTATAATGTTATGATAACACAGTAGGCCTATATAGATACAGTAACACAATAGATTACATAATGGCTAATAATATTGTTGGATATTTGCAGAGATACTTGGATGCTGGCAGCTTTGATATGCACGACCCAGAGCATCGGCACTTCTCTCTTCAGATTGCCCTGAAGTGTGCCGATATATGCAATCCCTGCCGACCGTGGGAAATATCTCGTAAATGGTCACACAAGGTAGCGTTCTTATTTTGACGTCACAATATTGGCATTTTAATATTTTTAATTTTTGTTTGTAAAATGATTTCCATTTGTGTAAAATGCAGTACAATGCATGATTCTATCTGAAGAAATTGTAGAGTTTTGTATAGATTTAGAATTGGATATAATTTTATTAGACCAAACAATTTTTTAATATTTTCTCTTGTTTGGTGTAATAGAATTTTAAATTTCCACTGACTGACAAGCCTCCTCCTTTACAGATATGTGACGAGTTTTATCGACAAGGTGATTATGAGCGGCAGTTAAACCTTCCCATCACACAACAGTGTGATCGCCATGTTACGTCAGTGGCTAAAATCCAAATAGGTATGATTTGTTGAGAAAATATCATGATTCTCTTTAATGTTGAAAATCTATTCAGCACATTTAAAATAATAATTCAGTAATACAGTACATATTTAAATAAGTCAAATTGTATAACCTCGGACAAATGCTTGGTTAAAAATGTTTTCAGGGACGTCTCTTCTCAATTTTAACAATATTACCCTTTTTATAAGTCAGAAATTCAACTTTTATGAAGATCACTTTATATTGAAACACCAATCATTGCGGGGGATGACATAGCAGCTCCACTCCCCCTCCCCCCCCACCAAACATATCCCATATAAAATACAGTATAACAAAAACCATTAAAATAATTACTTGAAACAAGGTGGTTTAGAAAGAAAAAGGACCACCCTCAGCATGGACATGTAGGTGGCAACGTGTGAGAATAGCCAAAGAAAAATGCAATTAATAACAGACAAGAGTTTCTGCCATTTATAATCCTCGTTGTAGTGCTTCATTGTGTAACAAACGCCAACTGCTGTGGTGTATTATCTGATTTTAAATGCTCGAATTGTGAATCGGTGACTGCTTGAGTGCGGTAGGACTTGTTTTTCAAGTGTGATGGTGTAAATGATGTCATTTACAATTATCTTGGCTGTTAGGCTTGAGGTCTCCCTTGGCCAATGACTGACCTTTTCCAGGATGCAATCCACAGTAGTTGCCTAACTCCCAGATATTTATTGCTAGGTGAACAGTGACATCGGGTACAATGAAACATGCCCAAACATCTCTTCCTGCCCATGAACTGAACCCAGGACCATTCTGTTGAAAGTTTACCACTGCACCACAGTCTTTTTCTGTTTAATTATCTGTAACCTTGCAAACAGTAAGTCACAATATGATAAGGTAAAACACCGTGGTTGAAAATTAGATGCCCAACTCGCACGTCTGAAAATAAAGGAAGTGATGTTTCAGTTCATCCTGGACCATTACAGTATTTATTTATTTTTAGATGTATGTGTTGGGTGTCTAATCTGTAACCTCATTTCACTGTTAAAATTATTTCTCTGGAATGGTCTCCTCCCTGTAATAAACGTGAGAAATGAGAATATGATGACAATGTTTGAGAGTTGGTGAGTTATTATGCTCACCAACTGATTATGCTCTTGGGAATACAGTACAGAGAAGAGAGCTCTCTTAATTCACCTATGAAAAATACTTTTTCTGTATGCCAGGTTACTAATTTGTGCAAAAAAAAAAATATTAACCTTCTGGAATGGAAAAATATTGAAAAAGGCAGAAGACAAGTTTACTAAAAAGCAGGGATACCATGAGAGGAGCATTTACGTCCAAAATCTGAGAGCTATTAACCTTTATAGGTTGATCAGGGGATTGCAACGTAAGCTTCGAACAGAGATGCTGTGAGTTTGTGTTAGCATCAGACAAGCCATTCAGGGTTAGTAACACAAGCTTTATTAATGGAAATATGGCTAGGTTAAGTTTCCATTTTCTTAAAGAATGCAAAGTCTTCAGTATTGCATCTAAGGGCGTCGTCATTTTTGTCTATTTTGATTACCATGATCGGGGGCAGGGCACCTGTCTTTAGGCTCATATAGGTCCCTTTTCCCTGTAACTACTGACTACTCGGGTCAGCTAGGTCAACTATTGACCTGTCTCGAGATACAACCCCATAGCAGTTGCTTAACTCCCAGCTACCTTTTTACTTCTAAGTGAGAGCAGAGGCAGTGGGTGAAAGGAATTGTGTTCAACTGGTTGTGTCCCACCCAGTGATTGAACCCAGGTACCTTGGTTGTAACCCAGAGTAGTAGAGTAGACAATATGTAACACTACACTCCGTGTTGGACAGAGAAACCTTTTTGAGATGTTGGCTGGAGAATTCTTAATCTCCTTATACATTCACCTTATTGGATAGTGTTTCAGTATATATGTTATATGCATTGTGTTAGCATTAATGGTAAAGACCTGGAATATATAAATGTGCATTTTAATTGCACAATTTTAATTCTCCATCATCGCAATATATGAAAAATATAATACATGTGATATGTCCAGATTTCATGACTAATTATTAACTACTCGTGTAAGACTAACTGAACTCTACAGAATTTTTATTTTAAGATGCATTTGAAAGCACAATATATAAGAATAAATAAAACTGCAGGAGGTCTGTTAGCCGATACAGAGCAGCTCCTATTTTGGGCTATTCACTTTTTCATGTGTATGATCTCTACATATTAAAGGCCAGGTTCATGAAACATCAAAGTTTACATAGGAAAAGAAAATATGGTGGTCAAGTTTACAAGTTCGTAGAGCACAGGTGTTATGCTTTTTGAACCACCCTTTCCTTTTGCCTAATACATCACATTTTTGTATAGAATTGAGAACTTTTCTTTAAAAATGCAACCAATCAATGAAAATGAAAGCACTGTTATATTGACATTTTCTAGGCATGAGCATTGTAGGTTATGTGGGTTGCTTGGATTTGTACATTTCTGGTTAGGCAAAGCTGTTGAACTTTTTTACGGAGTGTCAAATCCTGAACGAACTGTATAAACATTTTAATGCTCGATATGAATAAAAACGTTAAGACATAAGTTGTGCTGTATCAAAGACACTTTAGCATCATCACACACTTGCAGGAGAAACTGATCAAGTATTCTGCATTATATTGTGCCTAGAACTACCTTAATGTTGACTACCTGTTGTGGTTCTGGGGACCAACGCTCCCCCAGCCCAGCCTCTTGCCAGGCCTCCTGGTTGGTGGTCTGGTCGGCCAAGATGTTTGATGCAGCTGCTTCCAGCCTGATGTATGAATTCCAGCCTGGTTGATCAGGCATCCTTTGGAGGTGTTTATCAAGTTCTTTTTTGAATACTGTGAGATTTTGGCCATTGATGCCCCTTATGTGCAGAGGAAGACTGCTGATAAGTCTTGGGCACTTCAAGTTGAGAGTTCTCTCTAATGTACCATTGCACCTCTGCTTTTCAGTGGAGCTATTTTACACATCCTGCCATACCTTCTGGTTGCATGTGGCATTATTTCTGTGTGCAGGTTTGGAAGTGGTTCCTCTAATATTTTCAAAGTGTAAATTGTTATGTATATCTGTGCTGCTCTAGAGCATATACATTTCTTAAGCATCCACAATAATTGTTTTATTGAGTGGATTCTGGAAGTAAAAGACCTTTGCATGTTCTGCAGGTCAGCAATTTCCCTCAGCTTTGAATGGGTGTGTTAGTGTGCAGCAGTATTCCATCCTAGGGAGAACTAGTGTCTTGAAAAGTATCATCAATTTGACGGTGATGCCACAATCTTGCTCTAGGGAAAATGTTGGCAACTAGCATTTGTGCTGGCCAGAATAAGGTAACAAACATGTTTGTGGTTTTGTTTATTTTACAGAAAATGACGGCAATGGGATAATAAACTCCAGGTAAAATTGAAATAAAGTAAATGAAAATGAAGAGAAATTGATAACATGTGTAAATGAAATAGTCAATAACATGGAATAAAGATGAGTACTACTAAATACTACACATCACTCTGAATCCTAACAGTATTACTGGGTACGAAATTGTAAATTAAAAATGAAATTTATATTTCTCTCATGACATGTACAGTACTAGAAATTGTTAAGAATGAGATATTGAAAGAAATTCTTAATGCAAGAAATTAATGTTGATATGTCTGGTGTGCTGCTGCTTTAAAGAATGTAATGGTTACAAACAATAATTGGCATCTTCTCTCTTAACCCCACAGACTTAACAGGAAAATGTTCAATTATTTTTCTTTGTAATAAAAAGCTTGAAATATATGATGTGCTCAATTTAAGAAGTGCCTGATAAATTTGCCATCTTCAATGAGAAGTGTCTAATTGCTTCTTTTTATTTCAGGTTTCATCAAATTTGTTGTCTCGCCACTATTTGTTGCTTGGGATAGATGGCTAGAGACAAATCTCTCAACATCCATGGTGACCCATATGAATAGAAATCTTGCTTTATGGGAAGATCAGCTGGTTCGGGAGGCTGCTGAAGAGACTGCTACGGAGATCTCTTTCGTCCCAATGGACTCCCCTCAAATGCCTGTTGAGGAACCTGAAGATGATGCAGATGAAGCAGATGGGGGTACCACACCTAGTAGCAGTGGAGATAGTCATCAGTCTGTATTGGGATCCTTAGAAAATGTGTCGAGGTCACTTCAGCTGGGACGAAGACATTCTGTGCCCTTGAATCTGCCTCGTCTGGTTCCCCGTACAGTAATTAGGAGGGAAAGTTTACCTGAGGTTGGAGGTCCACCTTTGGTGGTAGAGACTGTGATGATGGGAGGGCTCTCACTAACCTCTCTCACATCTCATACTATTGACCCCAATTCCACTCTGACTGCTGATGCCCTTCTACCTGACCCATCTATCACAACAATGGGTGGGGTGAGTAGTGGACGATCACGTCATGCCTCTAGACTTTCACGAAGAATGTCCCTCCCTCCTCTGTGGCCTCAACATCCACGTTCTCGACCCTTACAAACATTGCTACCAATGTCGCCTACTCCTAGTGAGGACTCTACTTCCCCTCTGGACACTCAGGAAAATTCCCCACCCTCTGAAGAGCCTGAACAAAGAACAGAAATTGTAGGTAGCTCTGCACAGGGTAGTGTTGGGGACAGTGGTAATGATTGTGAAGATAGTGGTGGTTGTGGTGGGTGCAATAATAGTGGCGAGTGCTGTGAATCTACTGAACAAACGCACAGATCAACAAGGGGTGATACTGTGTCTTCAGTTCGGGAGTGTAGTGTTCACAGTAGGAAGTCTGTTCAAAGTTATCAAGGTGCTACATTCCTTTATCCTGATTGCTCAGATGGTCTTCATTACAGAGCTCTTGGTAGCAAGGTGCTAGTGCGACGGGCTTCACTAGACAGTACAAGTGTCAGCAGTAAGCGTGAGTTCCTGGATCGTTTAGCATATGAAGGGAGTAAGTTTGCTCGTGTTGAGCGTTCAAACAGTGAAGTGGATAAAGAAAATAAGGCACCCAGAGAACCATTAATCAGTAGGGACCGACAAGTACCGTTTTGGAAAACTCGTGCTTGGCGAAGTCTCAATTATGAGGATGAAAATGCTGTTGACCATAGAGAAAAAATGGTTAAGCCAGGCATATACAAGCTCAATCAAACTCAGGTATGTACACAACCTTATGCTATTCATTATTATGTTTGTTAGTTTCTTCATAATTGTTTTACTCCTTGCACATCATCATTTGGCATCATTTCCCTATTCCCAATTCCATGAGGTAGAAAGGCAGCACCCAAAAGAAAATAGGGAGCAACGTACAGAAATAACTGTGTACTCACACCACCATCCATTCGCTAAATGGATAAAGGGTCCCAGTAACACAGTTGGGTTCATTCTCAATGCACAATAAAGAATTCTGGGTTTGAATCCCAGGTGGGACAGAAATGATTGGGCACATTTCCTTTCACTTGATGCCGCTGTTCACCTAGCAGTAAGTAGGTACTCGAGAGTTGGTCAGCTTTAGGGGTTGCATCCTGGACGGGCACGCGGGGAACTTGGTGGTGAGGTGGTACAGAGTTCCACACACCACCAGTATGGGCTCACCATAGCCCGTGCTACTTGGAACTTCTTGTTCCAGGTAGCGAATCTTTAACAACAACAACTGGACGGGCAGTAATTGGGCCTGGGGGGGGGGGGGCAAAGGGAGGGGACGGACCTCGATAAAAGCTAAACATGCATGAATACACCCTGGCTTCCAGTCCCCCGACACAAGGAATTATTATTACAGTATTATTATTAAATCTTGCACACTGAACGGCTGTATTTAAACTCATAACTATCAAACTCCAGCAAAATATCCACTGCAGTACCCATCCATTTGATACAACTGTGTTTGTGTAAAGTGCTTCTTGCAAGTTGTCATTTAAAAATAAATATTTTCACGTCTTTCTGGAAGGAAACAGATAGAATAAATATCGTTAGCATCCACAAAAATTGACAGTTAAACGTAAGAGTAGATTTTAGGAATCTAGTAAAGGTGGCTTGTGGGACACTACACCTCATATGTGAGACCCATTTTGGAGGAAGCCGTCTTGAGATTGGAATTCCCATCTAAAGAAGCATGTATCCAAACTAAAATAAATATTTTTTATTTAATATTTATTTATAATAAATTTATTTAATATTTATTTATAATATATACATACATACAAAAGTTCTTACATTCTTGTAAAGCCACTAGCACGCATAGCATTTCGAGCGGGTCTTTAATCTTAATTTTTCCCGGAATACGACCCGCCAAATCATTTTTAACAACCAGGTACCCATTTACTACTGGGTGAACAGACTAAAGTTAAGGCTTGGTGCCGGTCAATCCTTCCCAGCCAGGATACAAACCAAAGTGCTCACAAAGCGCTGGGCGAGTGTCTTACCACTGTGCCATGGGGACTGTAAATCATAACTTCATGGAGAAAGAGAATTTGTGATGCAGACGTGGAGAACTTGTTTAAATTATTTTAAAATGTGATCTCGTTGAGAAAATCCAGGCGAAATGAGACAAAATTGAGACAATGTGTGCAAGAGTGATGGTAGGGAAGTGGTCAACTTACAAATGATTGAGATAGGCAACTATTATGGGCTGCATCCTGAAAAAGTTAGTCATTGGCCTATGAAGATCTTAATAAGCCTTACAGGCTTCCTGTCCCCAATAATGGAAAACCAATATGAAGAATTAAAACTAGAAATTTCATGACTTTTATTTAGGGCAGATTTTCAAATATAATTTATATCAAAATGTATCAAATTAGAAAAGTAGGCTCTGTAATTGCATGAATCTTCTAATGGCTTATAAACAACAGTTAGGTTCTAACACAAATTTGTAGAAAATTCTGGGGCAATTTTTTTTTTTTTTTTTATAAATATGAAAATACCTTTCTTGGAAGCACTTTCATAATTTTCTTCATAGTTTTGCTGCTGCCTTTCTGGGTGAAGTGATATATTTTTGGACAAGAACTTCCCAAATCTGTAACCGTTACAGTGCAAGATAATTATGTGTTTGTACTTGTTGTAATACTGTAGTAAAAACTTACTAACTTCTCCCGGCCATGTGACTAAATGCTTTTAACGCAAACATGAAATGAAATGATAGTGACAACGCTTTCATTTCATTTGTGGGTCGAGTTATTCGTTTGTCATGTTGCTGTGACATTTTCTGTACTAAATGCTTTACGTAGCTTGATAATAGCATTCATTACCCCCAAAATGTTAGACTAATCTGCATTAACAGGGAAGTATGTTCATTCATGGTCGTCGGGGCTCGGCTCCACTCCTACGGCCTGACGAATTGTGGGGTGGCCTCAGAGGTGGTGCAGAGCGACCAGATCAGCGTTATTTGTCCACTCGTAGGGGATCGGCACCCTCCCAGCCAATCCATCAAGGTGAGACATCTTTGCAATTTTACTACACAGTAGTATGATCATGCTTCAATAGTTTTGCTAGAAAGTGACATAAAAGAAATATGCTTCCAATATCAAAGTATGTGCCAATTGTTTTTAATAATTTCAGACCTATTGCAACATGGTCTAAATACATTTTTCCTTTATGCTATGTCTACTATGGCTTTCTGTAAATGTTTGAGACATAAAAGTTTTAGTAGTTAGGTAGAAGTAAATGTAGACAGAAACATGCTATACCCTTTAGTGATGATTCAGAATTTGTTTACAAAGATTCATAGTTGTCTTGAACAAAAGTTAAGATTTTTAATTATTCATAAAGATTTTATGGGGGTAGTTTTGCATGGAGAATTCCAGAGATAAGCATGAAATTCAGTGTTTGATGCCTTCAGTGTTAGTTTTGAAAGCCGCTTCTGGTAGGGCCCCTTAGCAGCTCTCTGAGGTGTACATGTTAGTATAACCAAGCCTTGGGAATCACGCCAGGCCTCACGAGTTCCACTCTGCCCTGGGAGCCAGGACCAGAATCTGGGTCTCTTTACAAGACTAAGGAGAGCTTTGGGATCAGAATTCTACCTAACTAGAATTTCCACCTAACCACCAGAAAGGTTAGGGGCAATAAAACAAGTGACTGCTTGAAAAATAGAAATGAGAAATGAACCCTGAGGCAAAGAAGGTAACTGATCATTGCTGCTAGTGAACCACCTCAACCTTGAAGCTCCCAGTCAGGTGCCAATCTCTCATTTTCATGGTATCAGTCACACCATTCTTTTGGGAACGTTGAAGTGCAGCTTTCTTCACCTTTCTAAGCCCTGCCTCAAACCACAAGCATTACAACTTTATGCTTGCCTGCCGGTGTAAGAGCAGCGGCCTAGTAGCTGGTGACTTGTGTGTCCTTGCCTTACAATTCGGGCTTAAAAAAAGTGAATATTTAGATTGGTGTTGGGTGCCATAGGTGAGACTGGGTGTTGGAGGCTTGGGTATAACACACATGTTCTGGGCAGCTACTAAGGGCCCACCAGGGAAGGGTGCTTCATTATATTCAATGCTTGATTTTTGTAATAAATATTATATTTTAAAACATTTTAATAATTACAATTTTTAAGCAGTCCATTGAAGCTTTACTAGTCCCCAAGAATAATGGAAAGATTTTCTTTTGATGTACAGGTATTTGAATTCAGAATAGTTTATACATATATTTTTCATCAGTTGCTACCCAAAGCTAGGGCCACCCAAGTCACTACCTAAACTGAGACAAGTAACTTATTAAATGGTCTTATCCTGTAGTATAGAGGTGAGGCACAGTGGGGAAGTATACCTCAATCCACCATCAAGAGATACCACTCACTATGACCCCAAAGAACAGGTCAAACCACTTGACATGCCCTTGAAATGACCATCAGGATTGCAAGAACAATAGATTATTTTTTCTGAAAATTTTTGCAGTACAGTATTAGTATTTGGTCTCTTCTCCTACCACCACCAAGTGACAGCGCTAGCTAGTACAACCTCATTGGAGAAGTTACGTTCTCCACGGTGTTCTCTGCCTATATATTACGGGTCAAGACCATTTATAAAGTTGTCAGTGAGGCTCAAAGCCTGCAGAGCCTGCCATGCTAGCAGTGACCTGGTTGGACCCATGACAATGGCTCAAAGGAGCATTTGAGGTGCCACTTGGAAAGTATAGTTTCATTCTCCTCAACCCTCATTTTTTCAGGTGTAAATTATGTTAAAGTAATAATTCATTCATTTTCAATTACAATCTCTTTCAAGGTAAACTAAGTGATCATTCCCCATACACACTGTGAATAGTAAGCCATCATAGTGCAGAGTAACCAGCTAAAGCTATGGATTGAAAAAGCTCAGGAATGAAGGTGCATATAATTAGTGTCATATTCATAATTATTGAGAATTAATATAAATCTGCTATTTTACAAAATATGAATTTTATAGTTACCTTTCTAGTAAGGCTTGAAATTTCTGCTATCGTTTCATGTCAAATGCATTATGGCTTCTCACTAGTTAGCACTTAATGTTGTAGTGAATTGGAAAATGTTGAGCCACAGAAAACTGTTAGATATCACTTCTTCATTGTCAATATGTCACAGAATTTTACATTAAAATGAATAACTTACCATTATCCTCTCCTGTCTAGGACATAAATTGCTGAAACTTGGCCATGCTGGTGGTCTGCTTGGGGCCTGTGGTGGTGGTATTGGTGGTGGTGGTGTAGGAAGTATAGGTGCCGGGAAGATTGGCGGCCAACCCCCATTAAAACGACAGCGCGCTTTTCCTCAGCCACTGAATCGCACTAATTCCTTTTCTATCCTAGAGCCTTTCATTGCTTCCATATCAGGTACGACTGAAATTGCCCATTTATGAAAAATTAATGCTTTGCAAAGTAGCCTGCATTATTTTAAGCTTAGAAAACTGTAGTTTTATGCATGTGCAGCAGTTATTTGAAGACTGTTATTTCAATCAAATATACTGTACTGTACAGTATATTGAAGAAATATGCACCAATAATAATACAATTTTTACAGCACTAATGAACCACTATTAAAAATTTAAAGATACACTGCACGCATTTTCCGGCTGTGCATCAGTTAGCCGGAGTCAGTGAGCATTTGCTAGTGCTTTACATGGTATCTGCTGTGTGTTTCTTTTCTCTCTGATAGCCTTCTACTGTAGCTCCATCTATAATGCAGACCACTTGATAGACATTAAACTGCACATTATATATATATTTTTCTGTGCTACAAAAGTTTATCGCCACATCAATCTTTGTTACATTATGTAATCTCTAATTTTACTCTTACCAGTTTAATGGTGCTTAAACTATTATACACAAGTATATACTGTGTGTATATCCATACATTAACTTTTAATTTCATAGTGTAAACAGTCTACCAAGGACAGCCTCCTCAGCTTGTGTGCTGGCACATACAGTATTGGGCAAACTGATCATGCCAGGTGCTTGCGAGAGAGACTATCCAATGAGGACACTATTCAGGCAGTTTGCCTTTGCAAATGCCTCTTGCCCCCTTGTTCTAGACTGGGAAGACACGAGGATCGGGGATCTATACAGACTGAGGTGAACCATCTGAAAAGAATCGGCAAATAAAGAACACAAAACATTTAATCTCTTCAAGGAATGTTTTAACAAGTACTGAATAAACAGAACCAAACTCTGACAAGCAGCTAATAAGAGTATCAGCTGAATTTCCTCTCTGCCACCAGGTGGCGGCCAGGTCCACACCAGGCCCAGATAAGGGAAGACACTTGCTTGGAAAGTCACATCACACCTTGTGCTATCTTGCAGAAGCAAGCTGTTGTTATCTCAGATGAATACTCATTGTGCATTAAGACTATTGTAGGTACCTCAAAAGTATGGAATTTTCATGCTTGAACATTTTCTTGAGCATGTGTGTTCACATAGTGTCTTGCTACCGTGCACCAATTTGACTATCTGCAGGGTGCCCTTCCATAATGTTGCTAGCAAAGACTGTTTGCTACCAGATATCTTCTCAAAGCTATCTTTTTTCTTTTATAATAAAAGTGGATACAGTATAGCTCATGTTAAACCTTAACCTACTAGTTTTGGTTGGGATTTCCCTAGAGCACAAGACACCAATTGTTTTATAAGACAGTTCCCAGTTACTGCTAGAAGAACAAGGGTAAACGGTTAAGGATTGGTGTCCAGTCAAACCTCCCTGGCCAGGGTTCGTACCCAGACATGTTTTGTTCCTCCTTTGGGCCAGACTTCACTCGAGTTGATCGTGTCCCAGGTAGTTCTTCGGAATTTGGTCACAGAAGAGACAAGTGCCATCCGGAAAAGGGATGCTTCACTGCAATCAATGCACTATTTTTACTATCTAAAAATATTTGTAATGAGTTTCTATTGTATTTATGGAAAGAGCACACCATTTTCATAATAGAAATGTAATAACAGAAATGAGAGAATGTGAATCATTCTTATTGATTCTATTTATAATGTTCTAAGCATTGGGAACTCATATGGTCTAGTATTGAAAGTAATTGAATCATATTTTCTATTAGTAGTGAAGAGTGTTAGAGGATGTGATCTTTCCACGGGGATCTCACAAGGGTGAGCAGAGGATGAAGGAGTGGTAATCCTGAATGAAGCTGTGTTGAAATATAATTACAGTATCAGGAAACCAGCCACCAGGATTACATACTAAGAATAGCAATAGTGGGGGGACATGAAGATATCCCCTATATTAGTCATTCACAAGCTTTCCAGCCAAACACCATAAGATCTAGGCAGATGCAACAAAATATGCCTGTCATGGAAAAAGTTAACCACAGTGGCATGGGAACTGAGCTAAGTTTCTATTACTTGAGATTTTATTCACGGAAATATATTGGGAAATGAGGACCTCCCACAAGGGTGGTAAAGCATTGAAAGTAAAACTGGTGGACACACTGGATAAGCACTTCTTGAAGCAAACCATAGACTCGTCCAGTAACACTCGACCTAGTGTTTACCCAAAATGAGGCCGATATCAAGAAGATTGTGCAATGCCTTTAGAAATTGCAGATGTGGGGACTAAAGGATGGCAAAGGCCCTGCCTTAAAGAAGTGCCATGGGGAAAGGAATTAGCGGGGAAGACACTAAATAGATTTGATGAAATTCATAGCTCCTTTACTCTTATTTTTAAGTTACATTACCAATATTGTATTCTAGATTTTGGATTTGTGTATACATATGATTTTGGATCTTTTTACATTGTTTGGCAAAACCTTAAACTTCACATACAATTTAAATTTTGTTTATAACAAAGTTTCTGCTAAATTCTCATATTACACTTTCCTCTTATTTTGTTAACATTTCTTAAAGTTCCTTTTAATACTGATGTTCTATTATTTGCTAAAATAGTGAACTGATGGTTCAAATTTTTTGGTAAATCTAGGGATAAAAATATCTATTTTGATTTCTTTTGGCCATGGCAATTCAAATAATGGTTAGTCATCCTGTATATATACAACATGTGTGTTTCTGAGTGATGGTGATGGTTTTTCAGTAGTACATCCCACAGAACAGGTGGGAAATAAGATCAGCACTTGACACATCGTAGATCTGTGCAGTGCAAAGTTAGGTGTTCATTTCTAGTCATTCAACCAGTACATAATCCATATTGCAGAGGACAGTTATAACAATAATAATAATAATAATAATAATAATTAATAATACAGTAATAATAATAATAATATTTGTTATAAAACATATGTGAAACAGTTCAGTGGAATGTCCATAGTTACACAAATTAAAGCTACAAATACACTGTGTTTGGGCATTAGATTAGCAAGTGAATTCGCATTACGGTGTATTATTATTTTTATTATAATAATAATGATGATGATGATGATGACGAGCAGTGGTCTCAATTGTGAGATCATTATGACATAGCCTTAGATGCCATGGAAGACAAGCAAAATGCTGATGTAATATACACAGATTTTGCAAACACCTCGACGAGCACCTTCAAAGGATACCTGATCAACCAGGCTGAGACTCGTATGGTAGGCTACGAGCAGCCACATCGAACAATCTGGTTGATCAGACCAGCAACCAGGAGGCCTGGTCAGCCCTGGCTGTGGAGATGTTGATCCTCAAAATGATCCACAGGGAGTCGAGGCACACGTCAGAAAAAAAATTGGAACTGAGCAAGGTTTAATAAATTTGATTGGCAAGAAAGATGTGTTATTAGGGAAGGAAGTAAGAGATGTGTATGCTAAATTATGTGACATACATGAAGGCACAAAAAAATTTATTCTGAAACATCCAAAACTAGAAAACGAGATAGATTCAACAGAAATTTTGAGAAAGCCAGAGAACACAAGAAAAAATTGAATCTATATAAGAGGCCTCACCCTCAAACATATTGGCAATACAAACAAGCAAGAAACTACACAACAGTAAGAAGAGGCAGAAAGACATTTTGAGAAAGGAATAGCAGAAAATGTGTAACAGAAGCAGGTCTCTTCTATAAATTCATTAAAAGCAAATTGCAGGTAAAGGATAAAATTCAGAGGTTGAAAATGGAGAAACAGATTTTAAGAAAATGAAAAGGAAATGTGTAATTACCAAAGTGTAGTCTCAGGATGAGAGCTACTTGTGGTGTTCATCTTCCCAGCACTGTCATATAATGTTTTGAAACTACTGACAGTGTTGGCCTCCACCACTACCTCACCTAATTTGTTCCAACCATTTACTACTCTGTTTGCGAAAGTAAATTTTCCTATATTTCTTTGGCAGTTTTGTTTAGTTTGTTTAAATCTATGGCCTCTTGTTCTTGAAGCTCCAGGTCTCTGGAGTTCTTCCCTATCAATTTTATCGATTCCTCTTACAATTTTGTACGTAGTGATCATATTGTCTCTTTTTCTTTTATCTTCTAATTTTGGCCTATTTAATGCCTCTAATCTCTCTGCAAATTCTTGGCCTTCAGTTCTGGGAGCCACTTAGTGGCATGTCTACACCTTTTCCAGTTTATTGATGTTCTTCTTAAGATATGGGCACCTTGCAACCACTGCATATTTTAACTTTGGTCTAACAAAGGTCGTGAACAATTTCTTTAGCATTTCACCATCCATGTATTTAAAAGCAATTCTGAAATTGAAAAGTGTAGTATAGGCTCTTTACACAATGTTCTTTATGTGGTCCTCAGGCTATAGTTTTTTTTTTTTTTATCTAGAACCACCCCTAGATCTAACAATTTTTTAAAGATTTTTCACATAATTTGTAGGTTGTGTGGGGTAATCTACATCCACATTCCATAACATGGTATTTATTCACATTAAATTGCATTTGCTAAATTCCATTTGCCAAGTGGTGGTCTATACTTATTTTGTTCAGGTCTTCTTGAAGGGAATGACAATCGTCAATCATTTTAGCATCATCAGCAAACATGTTCATATAAGTCTGTAATTCCATCTGGTAGGTCATTTATGCAAACAATGAACAATACTGGTGAAAGAACTGAACCCTGTGGTACTTCACTCATGACAATTCTCCAGTCTCTGCCTGCCTGCCATTTCTCCAGATACATTGCCTCTGACTACTGCCCTCATTTTTCTGTGAATTAGAAAATTTTTCATCCATGTTTGAAGCCTCCCTGTCACTCCTCCAGTATGTTCCAGTGTGCAGAACAACCTCTTGTGTGGAACTCTATTGAAAGCTTCTCTTATGTTCAGATAGATGCAGTCAACTCGACTATCTTTCCTGTAAAATTTCTGTCTGGGAACCAGATAAAATACGACTTAAAGGGAACAACAACGTGGAGCAGAGAGATGTCTAGAAATGAAGTGGAAAAATACTTAAGGAGCTAAGTAGGAAAAAAGCAATTGACTCAGATGGAGTTTCACCTTCGGTTCTGAGAGAATGCACACCGGAGCTTAGCATAACACTTCAGTTGATTTTTCAGACATCTTTATTTACAGGAATCTTAGGAAATATAGGGTAAAAGGCAATAGTTCCAATCTAGGAAAATGGTAGCAGAGAAGACCCTCTAAATTCTAGATCCATACTGTTGACAAGCCTAGTAGTCAAAATGTTAGACAAGTTAAAACTAAATGAGTAGAATACCTGTAGAGAAATCATACAGTAAGACAGTCAGTCAGTATGGCTTTCGAATTGGAAGATTCTGTGTAACAAATCAATTTGTTTTAATGGTAGATCCACAGCAGGAAAGAGATGGTCGAGTTCATTTTGTTTATCTGGACCTAAAAAGGCTTTTGATAGGGTCCCACACAGGAGTTTGTTCTGGAAACGAACATGCTGGATGGGTGACAGGCAGACTACTGACATGGATAAAAAACTTCCTAATAGAGATGAGGGCAGTGGCCAGAGGCGATGCATCAGACTGGAGAAGTCATTAGTGGAGTATTATAGGGTTCAGTTCTTCCATTAGTAATGTTAATTGTCTGTATAAATGATCTTGCAAAAGGAATACAAAACTATATGAACATGCTTGCTGATGACGATGAGCTACTAGGGAAAAAGAGACTTTGACAATTGTCATGCCTTTCAAAATGACTGGACAAAACAAATATATGTTGGAACACTTGGCAAATGAAATTCACTAGATAAATGCCATGTTATGGAATGTGGAACAGGAGAAAAGAGGCCACATACAGACTATAACTCGTGTGAAAACGTATTAAAAATTTAACAGATCTAAGGGTGGTTCTGGAAAGTAGACAGTCACCAGAGGATGGCATAAAGGACATTGTGTGAAGAGCATGTGCTTTGCTTTCCAACTTCAGAATTGCTTTTAAATACATGGATGGTGAATTATCAAAAATTATCATAAGACCAAAATTGGAATATGAAGCTGTTGTGTGATGCTCTTATTTCTGGAAGCACATAAGTAAACTGGAAAAAGATGCAGACATGCTACTAAATGGCTTTTGAAACTGAGAAAGATTAGCTACGAGATGACGCAATACGATTATTACATACAAAATATTAACAGGAATCAATAAATTTGACGGGGGATTCTTGAAACCTGGAACTTCAAGAACAAGAAATCATAAATTTGAGCTATGGAAAGAATAGTGTAAAAAAGCAAATATTGGAAAGTTCATTTTTGCAAACAGTGGTAGACGGTTGGAATAAGTTGAGATGATGATGAACGTCAAAACTATTAGTAGTTTCAAAGCATCATATGACAGTACTGGGAAGATGGGGACACCATTAGTGTAGGTCTCGTCCTGTAACTACACTTTGGTAATTGCAAATGGGTAATTATACATGCATGCATATACTGAACTATACATAACAACTCAAGCAAAGTTCAAATTAATATACATGACAAGGTTGATTGACTAAATCTTTGATCTAAAATTGTATGTTTTCTTTTAATGGAAGTTTATAATGTGAGCTGATTTGCTTTTGAGGCATTAATTTATGAGACAACAGATGGAAATTTGTAGTACTGGTTACTGTTCAAGCTTCAGTTTGAGCTTATTTATAACCTTTTCTGGGAGAGAGCCTTTAGTGACTCCAGGGAACCACTAAAGGGTTCACCAGAAAGAGGGTTTTTTCATTACATTCAATGCTGAATTTTCTTCCAGGGTCGGATACTGATAGTGGGCCAGAGATGCCTGGGAGTCCCCGAACACCCCTGACGTCAACTGAAAACCTACCAATAAGTGACACCCCATTTGGCCATTCAAGGCTGAGGGGGCGAAGAGGCTCTGTTCCTTTTGATGTTCCTGGATCAGATATGGGATATGAGTTCTCATTTATCAAGGATCATTCTGAAAAGAGGTAATCTATCATATTCTTCTAATGTATGAATATAAAATTATTATACATTGCAGGTTTTTTCTTTTTCAGGCTTACTTTTTAATTCTATTCCTAATATTTATCATTACTATTACCCAGTTTCCACACTTTCATGGGATGGGGAGGTGGTAGATTGTTAATATACACTATAAATACAGGTTCTGTATTATACTGTGTAAGAATACGTACAACTGTTCTTGTATTAAGTTTCTTTTGTTCTGGTATTGGCATAAAGTTATTTAGTAGCTCTTGAATGTCCTGTAATACAGACTGTGCTAAATAGTTTTCCCGGTTGAGTGCCTTCTTTTGATAATTACCGAGTTTCATGTATGTGCAGGTATCAGTAATGTTATTTCTAAGGTTTTTTTTTTTAACATAAGTACTGTTACAGAATCCCTCATGAGTAAAATCTGCATCTGTCAATATATTGTTTAAGTAAATGTATGGGGGTGATTACATTCTTCTTTTGGGCTTATAACTAAAAGAAAGATTGCATTTTATAAATGAGACCAGCTGATTATTTAATGTATGAAAGGTTTGGTCGTCGAGGCTCTGGCGGTTCAGAGATGCTGCCGTCCTTGGTAGCTCGAGCACTGCCTTCACTCTCTACCACTTGTGGAGGCCATGGAATATCTGGTGGTGGCTCAGGTGGAACTGGACTTGCTTCCTCCTTGACATATCACCACCAAGAGTTCCACAGAGGATCGGGCGGTCTAGAACTGTTTGCAGGGTTTTGGAGGTTGGTTAAAACCTATAAATTCTTTTAGTAATCTTAGTATGGCTATCATTAAAATTGCCACCTCACCTATGCATGCAAAAGCAATTAACCTTTCTGGTTATGGGTCACGAACACAATAGCTAGATGGAGGTGTTAATGAATGAGTGGTAACTAGATACAGTATGAAGATTGCTGACTTGTGTTGAAGCAAGAGCAACAGTCTGCTGGACCAAGTTATCACAAGTCAAGTAGTACTCCCAGAACCCACTTCAGGTATGATCTAGGTCAAGGTCAAGTTGGATTTTTACTGTGTGGCTTCACTGCAGCAAAATTGCTTCTGATACAAATTAAATCAATTTTGATTAATTCTGAGTTACTGAGAATGAAAATAAAGTTTAAAATTGTTGATTAGCTCTAGTTTTTATCAAAGATTAGTCTTTTTGTTTAAGTGCAACAAAAATTGTTGGGTAACTTTTCACCTAATATTTCTGTTCCCCTAGTAGTAAATAGGTACCTCAGAGTCAGCTATTGTAGAGGTTGTATTCTGGGAAGGGCAAATAGTTCAATCTTGAGGGGACCTCGATAGAAAACTAACACGTACATATATGCAGGCTCCCTGTCCCGAACAAAATTACTGTATTATAAAGTTAGATACGACTTTGATGTATAATCCATTTTCAGGTCACACCTTGAATCTGGTTGTTCAACTTTAGATGATCACGACTTGTATTCGCAGTCATCAGGAGGTATGACGCCCGGGACCCCTGGAGCCTTGCCTCCACCCCAAGTAGCCCTCCCTCATACCCTCCACAGACGTGGCTCACTGCCAATTGACCTCTTTTACTCAGGTCAGTAGTTATCTTGTTGGTTTGACCTGTTTTATTGTAATTGTTTCAAGTATGTCCATTGTATAGTTCAGAATTTCAGTAAACAACTTCCTTACTGTATATTAATAATTAAATATACTGTATTATGAACTACAGTGATACAAGTACCTTGATTTTCAAATTTAATTCGTTCCCAGAAATGGGGTCGTAAGCCGAAAATCCTAACCCGAAACAAATTTTTCCCATAAGAAATAATGTAATTGACTTCCTTTTGCCACTTCTTTGAATTTCATGGCACTCCAAGCACTTATTTTATGTAGTTTATGTAGGTCAACTTTTTTATTGACACACATTGGGTGGTGTGTCTTTTTGGGCATTTCCCTAGGCCAGGGCACAGTAGTGGTTGTCAATTTCTGGCTATAGACCTTCAGGTGGTTTCCCACGTGTTATGCAATGCATCCTCTGCTCACTGCACTCATCCCTTGGTGTCTCTCCCCCATGACTGTGCCTCCTCTTCGGTGTGGTTGAGGTGCTGGAATTCTGTTTTGGGCTGTACAGGAAATCCTGTATCTTATTCTTATATTTGTCTTGCCTCTCTGCAATGTTTTGCCTTCTTGGCTGTACTGTACTGTTACTTTGCCTATTTAGTGGGCATTTCTCTGTGCTTTGAGGCTTCGCTGTTGGTTTTCTTCCCTGCGTAATCCGTTGGAGGGGATGTTTATTTTCTAGGTGGCTTCAGTTGGTCAGACCTCCTGCATCAGGGTTGGTGTTGGCTAGATTTTCTTTCACTTTGAAGCTAGTGTACGGTATTTGTAAACTACGTGTCTTGCTCCTTCCCTCTCATATGCCTTGACCCATTTTTCTGCCTCTTGTTCTTCCTTTGTGGTTGGCTGCTGGTCTTGTGTGGATGCACTTTGTAATTAGCTCTTCACCCTGTTCTGTAAGAGGTAACACTTGTTGAGGTTGGGAAATTGTTGGATTTATGCTGGATTTATGGCATATGCCTCTTCTTAAGCCATAAATAGCTGGATTTATGGAGTGTGAAATGGACATTGCATAAGAGTAACAGTGATAGGCTTAGATGATCTCCATGGTAAGTATTAGTTTACTGGGGGTCATTTAAGTGTGAACCTTAACTATTACAGTATTTTGTTTACTGATATCATTCATTGTTTAGGTTTCTGTTTTAGAATAATAAAATGGTATTGTTAGCATGTAGCTTTGATCTAAGGACTAGGGAGGTATAGTGTATGTCAGCGATGTATTTGGGGAATAGGAAAGGGCCAAGTATGCTGCCCTGGGGAAACCAGTAGTGATTGGTAGAGTAGGAGGAAATGTTAATTATACTAATGTGTGTGTTGCATTGTGTGACTACTGTATATTTAGTGAGTTATACATTACTCTATGGTGCTATAGTTTTCGGTGGTGGTGATTGTGTCCAACAGTATTAAAATGACCTTGTATAAATCTAATGAACAGACCGATTTTGTATTTTTATCTAGCTCACAATAGATTGAATCTAGTAACAAATATGGCATAATTGATGTTCTTTTGTGGTCTGAATCCAAATAGGCTGGGACTGAATATGTTAAGTTTTGTTAAATTAAAAATGCTGATAATTTTAAATATTTTTGATAGTATTGGTAGATTTGATGTGGATACTTTGATGTGGGTAAATAATTTGTGCCATTTCCTTTTGTATTGTGGCAGGGGACCTCAGTGTGTGGGATAACGAGGGGACATAGCAACATCAGCGCTCTCGCCCATCGCTTTCGCCTCAACCCTTTCCTTCTACCAGCCTCCAGTGCCAATCTTCCTACTTCACCACCACCCCATCAGTGAAAATATGTCAAGAGAAAAAAACTTCAAAGAAGGGGTAACATTTCCAGGTATCTTAGGCAAGGGAGTTTAGGCGCTCCACTTAAGCCCTATTCCAGGTTCCCAAGGCCTGGTGTACGGCTGTGTGGTGGTGTTGGAAGCCGATGGTGGTGTTTTCTGTGAAAGAAAGACACGAGTCTGTTTTTTTTTTTATATTTTTTTGGTACCCCTTTCCTAGTGAATGAAAATATCTTTTGTGTGTGCACTTGAAATGATTTCTATTCATCTGTAAATGTGTGAAAGAAAAGTAACCTATGCTGGGCACTTTCTATGGAAAGTGTTTCTTTCAGACTTGGTATGAAATGTATAATGGTGAAATGTTTAGACATGCTTCTGATAGTTATAATAGCCAGTTTAATTTAAATATGATATGTTTAAGTAATTTTCAATGGCAAGTATTTTATTGGCAAGAAATTATATGCATCCCTGAAAGTTCATTATTCAGAAGTTTAAAATATGGTACATACAAGTGTGTGCAACCTATCTTTTATACTATGTGTCCAACAATGATTACAGGAGCAACAAACCTCCGATCATCAAGGCTGTGATGAGGTCCAGTTTATCTAAGAGTGTTTGAAGTCATCATCAAGGATGGACCATTTTTTTGTAATGGATTCTGTATATTCATGGAAATATAAACATATTTTGATGAAAATGTTATTTTTAGATTACCATGAATATAGAAAAGGATCAACATTTTTATCCCTGCTAAAAAATAGTTTTTCATGAGTCTATAGAATGTACCCTTATCTTGAACATTATAGTTTTTATGATGGCAGGAAAAATATTCAGCTCAAATAAGCTCAATTTAGTACTAACGTCCAATTATAGCCAACTGTCTTCATGAGAATCCAGCTTGACAATCCTGGTTCATATTATTATGGAACATTATATATAGATTTAAAAGGAATTAATGATAAACAGGATATTGTATCCAAGAAATGCACCTGAGTCAGTTGATACACTGTGGTTCATAAATTGTCAGTGACTTAATTTGTGCATATTATATGGTCTTCCTTAGGCCTTGGTTATGTTTTCCTAAGTTTGAAGTATCTGTCAGTGATAAATTATCTGGCATAATTGTGTAACTATTGACAATGCTGTCGGAAGAGTTTAACGTAGGTGTATGTATCAAGAGTGAGTTGACTTACTTGAGTGTATCACCTGAATACAATCCTTAATGTATACAGTAATCAGAATGAATGAAATTACTTATAATTATCTTCCGTCAAGTGGTTACTTGTGCCACTCGTGTCATGAGTAATGTGTCCTCCTGTGGTGATCCAGCCATTTGTTAAGGTACAACTCCCTAGAACTTCGTGTCTCTTGTTTCCTACCGAGGCTTTATAGGAGGCAACGTTAGCACCGAAGTCCATTCTTACAGTGTATTCCTACTTGCAAACTCTACATCAAATATCCGTCACTTGTGGACCTTAGGTAGTGCTGGACTTGGCCAATTAAAATGATGTAGTTATTGTAACTGAATGATCATGCAATTTTAAGATAAACTGAAGCTTGTTATCATGTGGGATTGCAGAGTTAGAGACCAACAGCTTAAAGTAAAGTTAAAAGGGTGGGTTGACTCGTGGAGTTTTCTAATTGTTGTAGACTTTAATATTAAAGATTTTTACATCCGAGGTGCAATACATAACTTATAATCCTGTTGTGTGAAAATTCATCAGTATTTTCAATGGTTATATGTGTATTGTAAGAAGCTCTTGACCAGTACATATGATGTGTACATGTTACGTCTTCGAATATAAAATGGGCTTGTGATGATTATCGCGATAATCAAAGTTGTTTAGCACAGTAAGGATTTGTTTGTATCTGTGTTTGGATCCTATGATAAATAGATATGTTTATATGAATGATCATTTGATGTAATGATTTTTTGAAAAAAACAAAAAAAAAAACATTTTGTGGCTATGCAATCTGCTAGTTTATATGGAATGACAGCTTTGGTGTAGTTAGTTCATACTGTCTCAATTTTTACATGTTATTGTTAGAAGTTAATGGAGATAACTTGTAGGGGATTTATTCAAATTTATATTTTGCATTATAATTTATATACATTATAGTACATGAAAGCACTTTGAAGGAGGAAAGGTGAGAGAAATTACTCTATGCTTTCATTATGGGAGGAATTTTCCAGTTTTAACATAAGGTATACCATAAGTTTGCAACAAGATCTCAAATCTACCAAACTGCCTTAACTACCCAGTTATATAACATAATTTCTACAGTTAATTTTTCTTGGTTACACTTGATATACTTAGATAAAAGAGGTTGTGGAAACTGATTATATAGTTTGGCTAGTGTGGCAAAGTAAAATTTGTCAAGGTTGCTGCTAATTGCCATGTATTTAGTGTACCAGGCAAGAGAGCCAACTTCCATCTTACAAATGGAGCCTTTGTAGGAGCCAGTTCTTGGTTGGTATACTAGAAACTGCGAAGGCATAAACTACTTTGTGACATTGGTGTCCCATTGATTTGGTTCAGTTCCTACTATTAAGAGGAACTTTTTGCCCAAAGTTCTGTTTTGTACAAATTCAAAACCATTTTTGTAAATACATGTATGGCAGATTTTCACACCCCCCCCTACTACTGTAAGGCAAAAAATCTTATTTTTCTTGTTCTATGCATAACCATGTTTCCCTAAAAAGTGAAAGTACAAATTGGTCTTTTAGAATTATTTCATAATCTGGTTGTGTAAAAGTTATCCAGTCATGATCATAATTATTATGCAGTCATGGACATTATTAGCACATTATGGATACTTCAATAGGTTATAGTACTCAAGTAGATTGTCTTTATAATCCATATTTTTCCATTTGTCTCTTTTTATTATATTTATAGAACCATGTAAACTACACACAGTAATTGTGAAAAGTGACGGAGATGCTTGGCTCCCAAGGTTATTTATATGACAAGCATTGTACTTGAGAACTAATCTTAAATCCTCACTGCAGAAAGTGAGCTATAGAAGAGAATCCAATAATGCTCATTGTCCTAGTGTAAAAAATAAAAGTTTGACCCTTCTTGGACATCACACAAGATCAACATTGCTGAACACCTCACATGGGTGAATAGTGATTACCCAAGTGTAATTAGCTATGGTGTCAAAGGGTGATTTGGCAATGACAGTGCTCAACCATAACTCAAAATATTTGAAATGGCAACCAAACAAAATATCCTTGGTTTGAGTTTGCTACGAATAGGCATAGGAATTGGAGGTTGTTACTATATTTCTCCTTATCTTAACAAAGATAGGGAGATAACAAAACAGTTTCTCCAATAGGCCTATGCTTATCATAACATTCTGTACAAACCTTGAAGGGCACAATTTTAATTTTTTATAATGTATTATATTTTGGTGTTAATACTTTAATGTAGGCCGAACTTGGCTTATATTTTTATGTAAGAGGTTTTGAATATATAGTTTTTTTTACACCAAGAATTTTTTTAGTTAATGAATAAGGTATTTAGCAACAAATTAATGTATGGTATGCACAGTTCATACATTTCCTTTTAAATACCTCAAAGTGGTGCGACTTTCCAACGCTAGCAATTGTTTTGTTCTAAGTCACAGCTGCTGTACTGTAATGCTGACATTTGATGAATATGTTCAATAATACATAAAGAATTGAATTACGACTACAAGAGTCTTCCTGTCGTCTTATCATTTTAAATGTTACGAGATATTTTGTACCATGATTCCATTGTCCTCTGTCCTATTCTGCCAATTCCTTTTTAGTGAGGAACCAGCCAAAATGATAAGCATGTTGTTCTAGCAAGATTGTTGCTGGATAAAGTGTGGGGATGAATTTCATGTCAAGATGATAAATGTTTGTGTGCTACTACTTCTGTTGAAACTTCATCAGGAAAACAGTATTTTGATTGTACACTTTCATGTAGAATCATTCAATGGTTTAAAGTAACAAAAGTGTTTATGAATATTACGTTGCTCTTGTGTTCTTTATTGGTAATGCTTTATAGAGGGAGTGTAGGCATGTATTTTATGTGTGGCTGTTGTTTCTTAGAGTACACACTCCAACACCTTCATTATCAAGAGCTAGTAAATATAAATAATTTATTTTGCAGCAAGTGAAATATTCTGAACAATTTAGCGATTTTCATTATTTATCTTTGCAATGAATTTATAACCAAAAAATGTATTTTAAGATATTAAATACTGTAATTTGTTAGCTAGATCCTTGGTAATTGACATCCTCGTCAACTGGGTCATGGGGGGGGGGATTTTTAATATTACAAACTGGGTGCAGAGTTGAGAAAATTTAATCCTATTGGCCAAGTTCCAAAATTTAGTATTTTATATTAAGTAAATTCTTGAATATTTAAGGCTAGGAGCAAATTCACCTTCAGTATGCTTTTGTTGATAAACTTGAGGTAATGCTCAGGGTATTGTGTACTTGGTTTATGAATGTTGAATCCATTGAATGGCAATATGATAGGATTTTCTGGAGGAATGTAAGAGTGCATGATTGTATTAAGTTGGGAAGTGAACTGTTTAGGTTGAATACATAAATGTCTTAGAGTAATTTAATATTGCCAAAAATGTTAAGCAGTAGTTTTGCAATTTAGTACTGTGATGATTCATATTTCTTGGCTGCGAGCTGTCATTCTCCCGTGGTTGTGAGAGACGGCACAAATACAAATGCGAGGAAACAAGTCTTAAAATATCTGGCAGTGCATTTATAGTGTATGATAGGCAAGCATCTTATTTCTTAGTATAACCACAAACTTGGTTGTACATCCACGCATTTTATTTGTACTGTTCAAGTTCAAATTCTGTACTGAAAAACTATAAAACAACAGTATTAAATCAGCAGGCCCATGTTCATATACACTTTTTATAGTGTTCAGCACCTGATTGGTGACATTATCTGGCTGCAGGTAGAGTGAATACATTTATTTATTGATGTTATTTTTAGTTATATTTCTATAAATTTAGTATAGATTATATGCTGTAATAAGAATTAATATTATATATGATTCTTTTGAGTAGAAATAAGCTGAGGTAGCATTCACCATATAATGCTGTATATGTAATTAGCTTCAAGATAAATTTATGAATTTCATGTTTACCATTTGATTTGCACGCTACAATATATAAACATTGTTGGTTCTCGAGAGATGTGTAGTTTAAAGCTGCCGACACATATTCAGCCGAGTTTACTTATTTGAATACTGTATATATATATATCAATGTATTTAAGTCTAAAACTAGATTTACAACATTTTATTACTACAGATAAAAGAAGAAAATAATTTTTGTTATATAGATAAAAAAAAATATGAAAGTACAGTACTATATGATACTTTCGACTAGTTGCTTTAAATATACCTGAGTTTTAAAGTATAGTCTCATGTTTTACAAATACACAAAGTTAATATTTCCTTTTCTTATGTGTATGATAAAATGCAACTTGCTTATACTGTAACTATGTAGTAACATATAAAGATTTTATATGCATTTGGGCTTGTTGAATATGCTGTGATATGTCCTTTGAATAAATATATAAATCGTAGTCAGGTGTTTCAGTGCATAAAGTGTTAGTTTCGATATCATTTCTGCAAGAAACTACAAAATTTATATTAACTTTGTAGAATTTGTGTTAAAATTATGTAGAATTGTGCTGTAAAATTGTTGTATAAATTGTAGAAATTGTGTACATTTTTGGTGAAAATGTGTAGAATTTTTTAGATTGTAATATCTAGAATAAATCCTACAAATCTAAAAAATTCTACAAAAAATACAGAATTTCTATAAAAATATGTAGATTTTCTGTATAAATTATGTAGTTTTTTGCAGAAAAAATGTAAATTTTCTGTAGAAATGATACAACTTTACATTATTTCTACTCTAGATCTACAAAATTTGTATACAAATTTTACAGAATTTCTACAAATTCTACATTATGTAGATGTTCTGTAGAAATTATGTAGAATTTTTTGTAGAAATCAGGTAAACTGTGTACAGAAAATCTACATATTTCTACAAAAATATTAAAATTATGTAGAAAATCTATATTTATAAAAAAAATCTACATTACATAGATTTTACATAGAAATGGTGATTTTTTAGAAATTGTGTATAAATTATAAAATGAATTCATACAGGAAATCTACATAATGTAGAAATTATGTAGATTTTTTGTAATTTTTTTTAATTTCTACAGGAAATTTATATAACGCTTACAAAAATTCTACATAATTTCTACAAAAAATACGTAATTTCTACAGAAATTCTACAATGTTTAGAAATGTAAAAGTTTTGAAGAAATTTTGTAAAAATTATGTAGATTTCCTGTTGAAATTTTCCATAATTTCTACAAAAAATCCGATTTCTACAATGTAGATTTTTTGTATTAATTATATAGATTTTTATAGAAATTTATGTAGATTTTTTGTAGAAAAAAAAAGTAATTTCTATAGGAAACGTACATAATTTCTACGCATTCTTCACAATTTCTACAAACAATCTACATATCTACAAAAATTCTACATAACTTCTACAAAATTTATACAGGAAATCTATGTAATGTCTACAAAATTCTACATAATTTATAAAAAATTCTGCACAATTTGTACAGAAAATCTACACTTCACAAAATCTTCATAATTTCTACTAAACATGTAAAATTTTAGTAGAAATTACGTAGAACTTTTTAAGGAATTATGTAGAATTTTTGTAGAAATTATAGATTTATCTGTATTATGTAGAAATTTTGTAGAAATTATGTAGAATTATTGTAGGAAATATGAAGATTTTCTGTAGAAATTGTGTAGGAATTATGTAAATTTTTTGTAGAAAATATATATATTTTTTGTAGAAATTTTGTAGATTTTTTGTAGGAATTGTGTAGATTTTTTGTGGGAATTATGTAAATTTTTGTAGAATTATGTAGAATTTTTGTATAAATTGTGGAAATTTTGTAAAAATTATAGATTTTTTGTAAATATGTAGAATTATGTAGATTTTTGTAGAATTTCTACAAAAAATCTATATAATTTCTACAAATTCTACACAATTTCTACAAAAGATCTACATAATTTCTACAAAAATTCTACAAAAAATGTATATATATAGATTTTTCGTATAAATTATGTAGATTTTTGTAGATATTATATAGATTTTTTGTAGAATTTTTGTAGAAATGATGTAGATTTTTTGTAGGAATGATGTAGATATTTTCTAGGAATTATGTAGATTTTTTGTAGAACTTATGTAATTTCTACAGGAAATCTATATATCTTCTGTAGAATTTGTAGAATTTTTGTAGAAATTATATATTTTCTTTAGGAATTATAGATTTTGTTGTAGAAATTGTATCGATTTTCTGTAAATTATGTAGTATTTATATAGGAATTATATAGATTTAATATATAAATTATGTAGAATTTGTGTAGAAATTATGTAGAAATTATATAGAATTTTTGTAGAAATTATAAAGATCTCCTGTGTAAATTATGTAGAATTTTTAAAGAAATTATGTAAGTTTTTTTAAGAAATGATGTAGATTTTTTCTACAAAAAATCTACATAATTTCCACAGGAAATCTTCATAACTTCTACAAAATTTCTACATAATTTCTATAACAATTATATATTATTTCTACAGGAAATCCTCATAATTTCTACATGCAAAAATTCTACATAATTTCTACAAGAAATCTACATAATTTCTACAGAAAATCTACCTAATTTCTATGAAAATTCTGCATGATTTCTACAAAAATTTATATTTTTTGTAGCAATTATGTAGATATTTGTAGAAATTATGTAAATTTCCTGTAGAATTTTGTAGAAATTTAGATTTTCTGTAGAAATTATGTAGAATTTTTGTAGAAATTGTGGATTTCTACAGGAAATCTACATAATTTCTACAAAAATCTACATAATTTCTACAAAAATCTACATAATTGTTACAAAAATTCTACATAATATCTATATGGGAGCGGACAGCACACTGGACTTGTGATCCTGTGGTCCTGGGATCGATCCCAGGCGCCGGCGAGAAATAATGGACAGTTTTTTTTTTCACCCTATGTCCCTGTTACCTAGCAGTAAAATAGGTACCTGGGTGTTAGTCAGCTGTCACGGGCTGCTTCCTGGGGGTGGAGGCCTGGTCAAGGACCGGGCCGCGGGGACACTAAAGCCCCGAAATCACGAAATCATCTCAAGATAACCTCAAGATAGGAAATCTACCTAATTTCTACAGGTAACCTATATAATTTCTACATATCTGCATAATTTATACAAAAATTCTACATAATATCTACAGGAAATCTACATAATTTTTATAGAAATTAAGTAGAATTTTCATAGAAATTATGTAGATTTCCTGTAGAAATTATAATTTTTTTGTAGAAATTATAAATTTTTTGTAGAAATTATAAATTTTTTGTAGAAATTATAAACTTTTTGTAGAAATTATAGTTTTTGTAGAAATTATTGATTTTTTGTAGAAATTATGTAGATTTCCTGTAGAAATTATGTTGATTTCCTGTAGAAATTATGTAGATTTCATATAGAAATTATGTAATTTCCTGTAGAAATCCACAATTTCTACAAAAATTCTGCATAATTTCTACAGGAAACCTATATAATTTCTAAAAAAAATTCTACAGGAAATCTACATAATTTCTAAAAAAAATTACAGGAAATCTGCATAGTTTCTACAAAATTTCTACAAATATTCTACAGGAAATATACACGATTTCTACAAAAATCATCCATGTTTCTACAAAAAATCTAAATTTCTACAGGAAATCTACATAATTTCTACAAATTCTACATAATTTCTTCAGGAAATCTACATAATTTTTACAAACATTTTACATAAAATCTACAGGAAATTTACATAATTTCTACAAAAATTCTACATAATTTCTACAGGAAATCTGTAGAATTTCTACAGGAAATCTACATAATTTTACATTAAAATCTACATAATTTTACATTAAAATCTGCATAATTTTAATTAAGGAAATTATATAATTTTTATGAAAATTTACCTAATTTCTAAAAAAAATTCTACATAATTGCTATAGGAAATCTGCATAATTTCTACAAAAATTCTGCATAATTTCTCCTTGAAATCTACATTATTTATACAAAAATTCTACATAATTTCTACAGGAAATTTACATAATTTATACAAAAATTTTATATTATTTCTACTGGAAATCTATACAATTTCTACAGGAAATTTATTTAAATTTTACCAAAATTCTACAATTTCTACAAAAAATCTACATATCTACAAAAAGTCTGCATAATTTCCAACTATCTACGGGCTCACCATAGCCCATGTTACTTGGAACTTTTTGTTCCAGGTAGCGAATCTTTAACAACAATATTCTACAGGAAATCTACATAATTTCTATAACAATTATATATAATTTCTCTAGGAAATCTTCATAATTTCTACATGTAAAAATTCTACATAATTTCTACAAGAAATCTACATAATTTCTACAAAAAAAAATCCCCCCCCTCCCCGCTCAGCTCGTTGTCGCCGTCTGGGGGCTTAGTGGACGGCTGCCGGAGTGTGATGCTCCTTGGGACAGTCCTCTGTCCTTTTCTAGCCTTGTGCTCCTGCTGCCGTCCTCTCCAATTCTGCTGGGCATCTTTTCCTTTTCCTTCTGTTTCGTTTTTCTCCCCCCTCTTCTCCTATCTGCTTGCCGTTTCCTGCCGACCTTTTGCTCGTTCTGGTTCTTCCCTTGGACTTCTTCTACTTTGACGCCCGGGTGCTTGAGGAGGCATACTCTTGCACCCGTAGAACTGCAGTACCCGATGTAGAGAGCGAGGGGAACCTTTTATTGTCAATCCCCACTTCGTCACTGAACCCGATCTCGACGGACTGTCGGTTTCTTAAGGTGGCGTTTGTGGGGCGTATACTCACGACGCACCCCTAGGAGGCCCCGACAAGATCGGCGATAGCTTCTTGTTGGGTGTCCTGCCTCTATTTGTGGCTCCATGGTGGGTGTGGGGGCACATTCGTGAGTGAATTCTTCTTTTCGTCACGATGGCAACCCCTGCTTCGGCTTCTTCTGGTTTACCTTCTCAGGCTCGTGGGGTGGGCGACCAAGCCCCCGAGTCGGTCCGTATTGGAAGACCGGGCTCTGTAGCCTCCGCTGCATTGGGCCCCGACCTTGCTCCTCCTCTGGCCTCTCTGACTCCTTCCTCTGGCTCCCCTCCCTCCTCTGTGGTTGGGTCGAGCCCCAAGCCCCCAGTGGTGACTACCTCGTCCCCTGGCGCGGCTCCTTCTCTGGTTGTAACTACTGCACCTTTTAACCCCTCTCTCTGGGGGTTCTCACCGCCGTCCTCGTCACGGCCGCCCTCGCTCGATTCCTTCCAGTTCTGCTACCTATCAAGCCTTGTTTGGTCCCGCTTCGTGGGCCAAATATTTTGATCTCCTCCCTCTTGATTCTGCGCCTCCTGACGATTTCTCCCTCCATCGACATCTCATTGATTCCGTGGATGCCTCCATTACTTTCAACCCCACTCGTCTCGGTACACGTGT